GCAATCCACTTAGATTTTAAAACTTTCAAGAGTCTCTGAAAAAGAAATTGTACATGTTATGTATATGTTACTGTGAAAGACCAAAATTAGAGAATGTTGATATTCTCCAGTGAATGTCAACACACAAAATATATTAGTGAAGGACCGAATATTTGGTTATATTATTATACATTCAAACAATCACTGGTGTATGTCGACAAGCACAGATAAGTTTGGTGGAGATCGAAATGTCACCTGAGAAGTCGATGTCGACAGAGAGGCGACAGTCTGTTGCCAAATCCTTTGTGGGTAGTCAGAGGTAGGACAAGATCTTACCTCTTTTCCCAGCAACAGTTTGGTGGAAACCACCCACTTTGTCACTGGATGGCATTTTTGTTCTTTTGATCCTGTGAGGTGGGGATTGGTTTGTCAGGTCGAGTGGCAGAGGATGAGAGGGGTTGTCGGTAAGGCATTGGCAATATCCAAATAAAAAGACACCATTAGCAGATCAGTTCGTAATCACATAATAATGTAATCAATTTGTAATTTGTAAAGAAAAGTTACTTTCCATAGATGAGATTTCTTCTCAAGAAATATCGCTGAGAGAAGCAGCTGCAGCTAATTTGAAAAGCGGAGGGCAAAGGCTATACACACTGTCATTGCAAAAAGAAGTGTTCCATGAATAAATGCAGTTGTAAGCAAAAAGCAAGGGACTCTTGTGCAATTCAAAGTGCCATAACAGTTTAAGTTGTTGCAATAAATATGATTGTATAATGTTAATCACATAATTTATGTGTAAGTTTTATATTGTATTATTTTCTTTAATGATTTAGAATGTACTGTTCGTTTTAGGTTCAACAGTTTATTTACATGTGCTGTTACTTAAGCTTTCTCCTATTTTGACATATTAAAAAGTTGCATTTTTGTCTTAATGTAATAAAAATATGAGAATCAATTAAAATATTTAAAATGGTGGAGTCATAATATTCTAATCTTACTTAATTGTACTGTAAGTGAGTACACAAAAAGGTTTCACGTCTCTGTAAGTCAGATAAGAAGGAAAATCCAAATTTTCGTGTACTCACTTACAGTACAATTAAGTAAGGTAATAAAAATATTTTTATTCAACATGCTGAATGTCAACATTTGCCGGTTTAAGTGAGAAATAATGATATTTAGCAAATATTTTGTACATACACGAAATGATTGTGTGAATGACCAATATCTGGCAAATGTCAGCATTCACAGTAACATATATATATAATACATAATTTCATACTACATTTTTATCATATATTTTTTTATTTCATTTTTATTAATTTATACTTTTTATTGTGTTTTTACTTTCTTGGCTGTTAATATAACAGAGGAAAAGTATGGTGATTAGTCAAAAAATGACTCCTCTGAGATTTTTGCATTTTTTGACATGGGGGCCTTGAAACATTAAGAAATGCAAAAAAGTTGGAGATTTTATTTGTATGTATGTATGTTTGTTTTTGTTTGTGTGGGGAGGCATGATTTTGTTCACCCATTTTGAAGCTTAATTAATAATAACTCCTGTGTGTTTTGTCAAAACTTTTAAAATTTTGCAGGGAGGTTGATTATTAGGGGGATTGATGCTATTAAATTTTGATAGCTAAGGTCAGTGGGATGGGGAGAGGATCATGTGTCATACCTTGAGTGAGATTGAACTTAGTGAAGATTTTACTTCTTATTAGCATGTACAGTTTTTTGTAAAACTCACCTCTACCCTCAAAATTAAGATTTTAGTCATTTTATAATAATAATAATATTGATACAAAAGATTTTTAATAAAATCTCATAACAGATTGTGCCACACAATTTTAACTTTATTGCAAGGAATGTTATGCAACTGTTACTGGAATTTTTACTGATTGTTGCTTTACTCAGGAGTTTTGTTGGGGGAGATGATTTATTGTTTTTGAAACATTACCTTTTGTAAGAATATAGAATAAAAAAGAAAGAAAATTCAGTTGTAGACCCTTTTGGTACATTTGTGCAAAAATGCTTTGTTATGTAAATGTTTAACATAAAATACTTTTCTACCAGCAAAAATTTAAAAATTCAGTTTGCTGAAATTTTTTAATATTCATTCAGTTCAGTCAAATATGATATGATATACAACAGAATAAAAATAGGATAAAAACAAACTTAAAACATAAATCAATTGCTAAATAAATATACAATATTTTGATAAGATTTAACTGTATAATTAATCTACTGGTTTGAATTACCAAATAAGTACTAACCATCTTATGAAAAGAAAAATTTTACTAAGAACAAATACTTTTCTTATATCAATAATTTAGATATCTTCAGATGCTCTATATTTCAAATAAAGAATTTATTGCATTGTGGAACAGATATTTGAAAGTGTACTCCAGTGTGTAAGGAACATGGTTTAACATAGGAAATGCAATAAATAGTCTGAACATATTTAAATTAATAAATATTAAAGAATAAAATAATGTGGGAATCCGGAGTTGAGAAAGCTCATTTCTCACTCTTGTTCGGCCTCAGATTGGGAAGATCCGCCCACAGGGTCACTAGGATGGATTTTTAGTAGTATTTGATTTGGGGGACAGGAAGTTTGTTTGATCTACCTGTCAGTTTTTCCTGACACTAGCCTAATTAGAGCGTTAGGCATGCTAATGATTAAATTTATATACTTTTCCGAGAGGGGGGATCGTAGATCTGTGATAAGACTTTGGCGAAGAGATGAGATCAATAACGAGAACATTTAAATCAAACAAAACACAATTTAATGAGGACAAAATACAAAAGAAAATAATAATCGATACCTAAAGAGATATTAGATCTCTATCTAATTGTGTGAGAGAGAGAGCTTACAATAACTTAGACATACTACCTTGATTGAAGATCTCAATGTTGGTCTTCTCATTGGATGAAGACGGCAATGTTCTTGGAGGAGGTTCGAGGAGGAGGATGTGAGTGAGGGAACTCTTGCTGATATGGCACCTTCGAATTATGGAGGACTGCGGTCTGTATGGCACTTTCCAGACTCTTGTGGATAGCCTATCTAATAAGGAAATGTCAGATTTCTATTGACTGCCTTGAATTGTGGGAAATTGCTCCTTTTATCGTCAGTTTCAACCAATAGAATTTATGGATTTATGTCCTCAGACAGGACATACAGAAGGGTCAGATACCCAGATGTTCGTTAAGATTAGCAGTGTACTCTTGTGAAAGGAAGTCGATTTCCCTTTTCAACAATGATGTCGCATGTGCCATTCGTTTTTGTAAACAATATGAAAAGATAGATATATTTTCCCATGTTAATTATATGATATAATTCTGATTTTCACATTAAGAATTAAAATAATAAAATAAAAAGTAGTGAAAAGTATACTTTTAACTACTATTTATTTTATTTTTATTTATTCTGAACTTCAATTTTCTTAGTAAGTTTTTGCTGGTTGTAATATGGTTAGTACTTAGTTGATTTTAACTATGGATAGTCTGACCAGAATGTTAAAAAATAATGTTGTGTTTGATGTCTTTTTGAGTAAATTACATGGTGTTTAGGGTTTGGGAAGTCTCGACATTCTCAAAGTCCTGGGACACGAGACAACCCACGATCAAAATCCCGGGATGTCCCAGGACTTCGAGACTTCTCAGAATAAAATTAGAATCGAGTTCATTTTTGGCGAGATGTATCAATAAAAAAGCAATTTTAGTAAAAATCAACATTTATTGAACATAAAATCAAATCCTAACATTTATAACGTTAATTAAAGTCTAAACAGTTCGTATGTTTAATTCTTATAATCATAGATTCATTTTTTGGCAGTGAAATCTTAAAATTATAAAACCAACTTAGCAATCATACTAATCATTAATTAATAATCATCATCTAGTTTCTATTCATTAGTCATATAAATAATATAATGAACTAGCAATTAGACATCTTTTCTGATTTAATAAAATAGGCATTTAAAAACATCAGAGCATTTACAGTTTGTCCGACAATCTGTTTCTGATTTTTGTAATAATGCCTCCGGACAAGGAGAACACACTCTCGTTTTCAACAGATGATGGTTTTATTGTGTTTAAAGCTTTATAAAGTAGTTTCAAACTTTCAGTACGTTTTCTGGTTTTTTCAAATAACTGGAACTCCTTTTTTAATGCTGCTCTTGATCTTTTTGCAAAAATTTCGGATACATTTCTTCGATTTTTTGATTGCCTGTTTGATGAGTCGTTTCAAAGTCAAATAGACTTTGAAACGACTCATCGGGTTCGTTGTGTACTGTAGAGCTACTGGTACTGGATTCGGCGTCCATTATTTCCAAATCTGGCATTTGGATACGAGGGATATTTTCAAAAAGTCTGTAATGCAGATCTTCCGCAAAAGCAATAAGTGCAGTTTTATTCAAATTCAAAGTAAAAAAAAATCTGTATGCGACTGTGAGCTGTGGTGGCCAGTGTGCGAATATTTTAACAAACATTTAACAGAGTAAGGTTAAAAGTTACACGGCCTTGTAAATTACCCTCCGCTGTTTATTTGTAAACAGGAGGGAGAACAAAGGAAGCGTCACTCGGCTAACCTTTTGAAAATAAAATTTCGAAAATAAAATTTCGATAAGCGTGTCTCGAGTCTTGACCCGAATGTCCCGGGACCCGAGACAATTAAATTTAGAAAAAGTCCTGGGACTTCGAGACACAAGACGTCCCGGGACGCAAACCTTAGTGGTGTTTTTCATATTAATATTTGGGTAGAGCATTTGATTGAGTATATGAAATCTTAATTGAAATGAGTATATAGGCTTATTGGTTATTGAATTATATATAGTATTAATGATTATAGTTTTCTGTTTTTAAAAATTCTTTGACTTCAGATAGATAAATAGCTTTTTAAATTCTAAAAATCTATTTATCTTACATAGTCAAAATTAGAAATAAAATAAATTAGATATTCTTATATGTGATTTATATTAATTCATCTTAAAATTAACATATATATATATAATTTTATTTTATAGATGTTTATCAACAAAATAATCCTACCCTTTATCAGCCAATGATAGAAATACCTTCACATTCATCTCCTCCACCTCCTCCTATTTCCTATCATGAAACTGGTTAGTAAAAATTGAAAATTTTTTAGTTATTCTATTATAAGCTATTTTTTAGAATTTACAGTCTATATTATTCTAAAATTTTAGATTTAAGGATAATATAGATTAAAAAATGATTAAAGAATACTAATATCATACATTATTCAGTGCTTTGTAAATAAAAATATATATCTCATACTAATAATTACACAAATAAACAATACTGTCCATCAGGCATTAAAATTCTTTAATTATAATAAAAAAAGCACTTTAATAATAATGGAATTAGCACATTAACAATAATAAAAAAATAGCAAGTACTTTCAACATTGCATTTACATCTTCTTCAGGCTATATAGATTTTTTTTAAAAACTATTCTGTATAGCCTGAAGATAATGTCAATGCAATGACAAAAGTACTTGCTAATTATTGCCATATAATGACATTTTTATCTTATTAATAAATAGATAAAAATTATAATTATGCATAATTTTCTTTTTTTTTTTTTTTTTTTTTTTTTGAAGTTACTATGCCTTGACTCTGGTCTGGCATAGTACACAGCCATCGGTGTCCACCTAGTGTAACTCACAAAACTCAACATAATTGAGTTTTGTGGTTTATGGCATTACGAAATTCTATTAATAGTATCATATCATACGTTTCATATGGGCATTAGCAGTGCATATCCGGCAGGGAGATACATTCCCACCATGAGTGGTCGCTGCAGAGCTTTTCTAGTGGCGCATCCAAGTCCCCAGTTTGAAAATGGCCTTAATAGCTAATGTAAAAAATGAGAATTTTTTAAGTTTAAATAGTTGTTACATAGAAGATATTCCATCAAGATTTACCTGTGCTAAAAAGATATTTACTTATTAATTTTGAAATAACAGAATTTGGTCCTTCTGACCATTTCGTAATAATACAGTAATAACTTTTTTCCCTGTAAGAAAGATAAAAGTAAGTTGATGGTGGTAATCCCAATGCACAAAAGTTTTAAATGGAAGTAGAGAAAGCTGCAGTTTTTAATGTTTTGATTATAATATCTTAAAAACAATTAAAAGTACAGGTAACAAAATGGTGGAAAAATTTATTTGAATACATGAAAGATTAGCATTTTGATTAAATTTAAAACAGAACCGACACAATTTAATTTTAATTAGATGGCATCACTTTGTTTTGATTTGATACAATTTTAAAATAATGAAAATATGTCTTCTTACTCAAAGATCATTTGTTATCTCGGAATCTTGCTCAACAGTTTGTTTACTCACAGAAGCCAAATTAGAAAGTAATATTAAAAAACTAAAGAAAGCTTCTGTTAGGGATAAAGATAAAATTCTGGCAGAATACAAATAAAATGCCATAAAGTGACATGCTAATAGTCTTGAAAAATTAATTTTTAAAAATTATTAATCACCACACCAGAATATTATCCATTAAAACAAGAAATAACTACTGTCTAT